TATCTCTATATCTGTATATATCTTGTATAGTAGTTGTAATCGTAAATGCCCCCCGTGTATTTGCAGAGTGAAATAATTGTTGGAGGTTTAACTGATCTCTTAAACAATGTTATCAAAGATTGTTAACTTCCCAGCAATAACTTTTGGATGGTTATTTTCATAACTAGCATGGCCTTTCACTTGGTTGAAGTAGTTAATTGTAGAAAATATTCCATGTTACGTATTTAATTTTTTTCTTCATATTTTTGGGGAGTTTTTGTGTTTTATCTGAGTGATTGCACACATTCTTGGTATGGACTTTTTTTTTTTTTAAAGTTGCTTGTTGTAAAAATTCAAAATTGGAAGCGTTACAGATGCTCAGAAATCAGATCTATATGATTATTAGAGTAAGAAAGGACCAGAATTCCATTACAGAGGTGACAAATCCCCTCTCTGACTGTGAGCTAAGGTTTGGGCTTTGTGTTATATCACTCCAAGTTTCACAACCAGTCTCTCAACTACTTTGTTTTTTTGGTGATGCAGCCTTCTATTTCAAATACTGCACCTGCATGTGCAGCACTAAAAATATGATCTATTTGAACAACACTATAGTAATTTAAAATAAAACTATGTTAGAGTAAAATTTGGTCCCTTGCTACAATATAAGCCAGCGAGGAGTGAATTTCTGAGGTAGCACTAAAATTTGTTTCTCAAAGTAGTGTTTTCCAAGGCTGTGCACAAATACTTTATTCACTCTGTAGTTCTTCAAGCTCAGTTTTGAGATTTTAATGGATTTTCAAGACTTCCTGCAATACTTGCAAACCTCAGAGGCATGTCTATGCACCACGGCATCATGCTGGAGATCTGTGTGTAGACTGAAGGTAAGCAGGTAAACCTGCATGGGGCATCATCACAAGGAAATATTACATAGCCAGAAACAGAAGTTTAAGTTTCAACGAACTTTTCAACATGGTCAGTTATCTTGAACGTGGCAACAAACTGATGCTGTCCTAATGCTTATGGCTCAATACCTTGTTGTAACAGTCTCGGTGATGACAGCAATGTTCTGCATTATAGATAATTAAGAATATTTTTGAGTAACAGAGTGAAAATCATTACAAATAATATCTCACTGATCTAAAAGGCATGTATCACCTTCAGTCTGTAACTCTGAGACGGCCTGGGCATATTGAGAATGATTGTTAATTTCTTCAAAATCTTTTTATAGCTTTTCATTTTATTATAAGTTTATTCTGATTATATATGTCCATTTTATTAAACATCAGAGATACAGGTAATATAATATAAAAATATAAATGGATCATCTCCCTGTAATCACATTTTCCTCAAAGTGAAACAAATCAAACAGCCAAACATTTCCTTCAAATCCAATTATCAGATCATCTGGAGAAAGCAAATGTTGTATCCCTTTCTCTTGAATGCTTGAATTAATCAGTCAATCTTTATGTGAGAGGTTTAGTTCACTGAAATTTTGAATGACCTGCAAGTGGCATGAAGTATGTTTACAGAAAACAGCCTCGAAAAGCTTAGCTTCTTTTTCTCTTCTTTTCTTTTTTTCTTTTTTTCCCAATTGCAGAGAGCCAGTAGAAAAAGCCTGAGGAGAATTTGGAGGTAGATAAATTTAGCACAAGTCTCAGTGTAACGTAGAATTGCTGCAGATGCCACCATTATTTAACCTGAGCCAAATGTGGTATGAATTTAAGATCATTTGCTTTTTAATCTCATAACATTGTGTCCCTTTGGTGACAGACTGACCGTTCTCATTGTTCTAACAACAATGAAATGGCATCGGTGCAACCTCGTCCGCAGAGGTGGACGTGGTTTTGTGCGCGTGTCAAGGTACGTTTCTCTGTATCCTGATGCCCCTAGAGGCGATTTGACTTCCCATTTTCATGCCTTCAGGGTTTTTTTGCCGTTTCCTATTTTTGTTCTGTGCCCGATTTGGAGAGAGTGTTTGGGTTTTGCTGTAGCAGAAGGTTAATGTTGTTTTGGTGAAACACTTGTAAGAAGAAAGTTAAAATTGGGTAGTGGAAAAACGACATCACTTTCCAAAATTCAAAAACCCAATTGAATTAGCAGAGAAATCCTTAACGTCATTGTTTAGTTAGCTCTTTTAATTGATGTTGGCTTCTTCTATTAACTGTTTGAGGCAGGGGCTTTGATGAAGGGTTTTGAGAAGGAAACGTGGCCATCTGAGTGACTCAGTTGTTCCTCCTGAGCCCATAGCACAGCGCTGTTGCTACACAAACACCTGGAAGGGGTGCGTCCAGCTAAAATAATTTTTAAAAGAAAATAATTCTTTGCTTTTAAGATCTTTTGCAAAAAATTTCATTTACTCAGAAATGCATATTTCAGGAAGCACTAATCTCAGAAGAAATGAGAGCTTTGTAAGTAGCAGAATAATTAACATCGCTAGAAATCTGATTTCGTTGTCAGTAACACACAAAACTTGATTGGCAATCAGATGTGAAGTGTTAATTGATAACAGCTTTGGTTTACAATGCTGAATCCAATGTTGTAATTTAACTTCAGTATAAACAGCTTTCTTTTCAATCGCAGTGTCCCATTCTTGCCAGAATTGCAGAATTTTTCTTTAAAAATGTAATTCCCTGGATTTACATGAAAGCTTAATGGAACCATAGCTCACTGTTGAGTATGCTGTTTGTCATCTTCATTCACCCTTTCTTTCCAAGTATTGTAAATTATGGATTCAATATAGATCTAGAAAAAAATAATGTACATGCTCTACTGTGTTTTTTTCACCTTCTCCTTGAATGGTGTCCCTACTTGCTGCTTCTTTGTTAATTTACTTTTTTTAAAAATATAGGTTTATATTTGCTGCATGCAATAGTTACAAAAATGTAGCCTTTTCAAAAAATCATCTTTTACTTCACGCACAGCTAAAAGAAATGTCATGGATACATTCTTTCACATTTTATTTAAACACACAAAACTTAAACTATCAATCTGATTTGGAAACACAAGCAATAAGACTTTTAACTGTATTTTGATCCCAGCTGCGTTGCCCATTTAATAGGTTGAAGTACAACTTTTGTAAGAGTTTCCGCTACAAACTCCTGACTTCAGTTATTTTTAATCTGATTTCTGAGCTGTTTTCTGAAAGGTACATGTTGTCCATGGGGTTAGATTTTCTTGGTTATAATTGCTCCTTATAATTTTCTTCATAGTCCTGGGTTGAATAGGTAAGACCTATGGGTAAAGATAGAAAGAAAATAAATGTTTAATCCCAAAAAGGGAAATTCAGAGGAGAGAGAATCTGGGCATAAATTCTTTTTTCCCTTAAATTTGCCTCTGGAATTTCTCTGCACAAGTCAGAAGTGCCTTGTGATCCCACTGAGTCTTCTAGGAGGCAGCTCTGTGTGTGGTGGTGACGTTCTCTGCCTGTAGCCGTTGCTGGTTCTCCTGCGGTTAGGTGGTCCAAAAAGGTGGGGCCTCCTTCCTGACCCTTGGTGAGAGGAGGGGAAGAAAAGGTTTTCTATCAGTTTTTCCATCCCAGTCCTGGCAAAGTGGAAGAAGAGAGGAAAGCGGGTGGTTATTCCTGCTCCTGCATCATCTGGGAAAAGTTGGGATATGGAGACATAGCACAAAGGAAGGGCTTAGGTTTGATATTGGGGGAAACAAAGTTAACATCAGCTGGTGGATGGAATCATGGAACAGGTTATTTTTGCTCTCAGCATTTCCAGGTGCCTTGATATGATGATTGTTCACTGTCTCTAAGAAAATGTTTCCATCTGGAAGGATGGACAAAAATGTTTACACGTCTACACAGGGGACCACAACTTAGTTTGAAATATGGATATTCTTTTTGGGTTGAGTTATCTTTGTGATATATGCAAGTTTTAATGTCTTTATTAAAGGTGATGAGTTGAAATGACCGTAATTACAAAAGAAAAAGCAAAAATAACTCATTGTGCCTCATGTACCTGTAGATCTAGAAAGGAAACTCCTTTGTTTTTAGATGCTAATCAACTGCAAGCAGTGGTTTTGATCCTGTCATGGTTTAACCATCAACTAAGCCGCACGCAGCCACTCACTCACTCCCCCGCAGTGGGACACGGGAGAGAATCGGGAGAGTAAAAGTGAGGAAACTCATAGTTTGAGATAAAGACAGTTCAACAGGGAAAGCAAAAGCCACACACACAAGTAAAGCAAAGCAAGGAATTCATTCACCACTCCCCATGGGCAGGCAGGGGTTCAGCCATCTCCAGGGAAGCAGGGCTGCATCACGTGTAACGGTGACTTGGGAAGACAAACACCATACTCCGAACATCCCCGCCACCCCTTCCTTCTTCTTCCCCCGTTTATATACTGAGCATGATGTCGTATGGTATGGAAGATCCCTGTGGTCAGTTGGGGTCAGCTGTCCTGGCTGTGTCCCCTCCCAACTTCTTATGCACCACCAGCCTCCTCGCTGGTGGGGTGAGGAGCAGAAAAGGCCTTGACTCTATGTCAGCACTGCTCAGCAATAATGGAAACATCCCTGTATTATCAACACTGTTTTCAGTACAAAACTAAAACATAGCCCTGTACTAGCTACTGTGAAGAAAATTAATTCTATCCCAGCCAAAACCAGCACAGATCCAAACAAATGGTATCTAAATCACTCTGTGCTTCCAAGTAGGATGCTGCAATTTTAGAGTTGATGCACTTTATTTCTGATAGGAAAATATATAAGCAGAGTATTCTTTTTTTTAAGCTGATGTGAAAGTCATGAGTAGTTCCTGAAATCAGAGGACTCTTGTATAACCATATCTACAAAGATTTTTAGGATGCCGTTTCCCATAGATTTATCTAAATGAAGACCAAAATGTTTTTTTGCAGCCTCTTTATAAACCTCTGACACCTCAATGGATTTGGGCATATAGGATTAGCACAATAATCATGTTCTTCTTTGGCCCCTGAGAATGATCTAGATACCGTTCAGATAGTTGGAAAGTTCGCCACCACTAAGTAATGAGAAGTCAAAATAGCTTTTGTGGCATGTCCAGTCATAATTTTTAGAAATCATGTTTTCCGCTCAGAAATGAAAATGTGTGTTTTCTTCCACTGGGAAAAATACTAGTGGTACACATTTCTGAATAACCTTTGGTTTCAGTTTCCTTTGTCTTAGCAGATTTGACTGGACTCGCTCTTATTTTATATCCAGAGATATAAAATACTTTGTTTTAAAGTAACCTTTTTCTACATAGTTACCTCAGTGAGGAAGATCTTATTGGTTTGGAATTGTTCTTGGGTCCCAGAGCCTTTTGGAAAATTTATGTTACAGTCACCACATAAACAAATTAGTCTCAAAACAACTTAGAACTGAGTTTGAACTAATTCTTCCATTTTTTCTGATTCAGAATGATTAAATGTGTGTCCCTGAGTCTTGAATTTCTTTATAATCTTGTTTTTCAGTGGTGCTTATTCTGCACTTTAATCTTAATTATCATGGTGGAAAGTGTCAGACCATGAGGAGGTATAGAGAAAGTACAGATGGATTTTGTTTTTTTTAAGAAAAAGAAATGAGCTTTTGAGAATAACATTTAGAAGACAGATGGGGGAAGAAATACAAAATAGGAGTTTGACTTGCAGGAAGAAAGAGCAAAGAGGGGACGGAAAAGGAAGAAGAGAATTGGATACAGAAGACCTCAGAAAAATGACACCTCTTGCTCTTGACTGTTAACACTGGGGAGCAGATGAGGAATGAAGGATAGGAAAACAGAAGGAGAATGGTATAGTAACTTCTCTAAGTAGCTTAAAACAGAAAATGGATTATCTTCTAGAGTTCAGCACAGCTTACAAAGGAGCGTAGATAGCTGTTAATTCCCAATAGCAAGGGATTTAATAGCAAGGGATGTAGCTGGCATGTTCAGACACAGTCACGTTTCATCACAGTGATCCTCCCTTCTCCATAAAACGAGACACCTTAACTGGGAAACGTCCCCCCAGCCAGTCTTCCTTTGCAGGCAGAAGTGCTGCAGTAATACGCCAACACACGTCCCGCACTAGCAGTGTTTCCTTCCCACGTGGCCATAACGAGAGCTCTGCATATAGGAGTTTCTAATTTACTCTTACCGTGAAGGATAACATAAGCAATATGTTGTTAAACAGGGCATATGTTGTTGCTGTGAGCTGCTTTCTCCGTACCAGTTCCATGGGTGAAAAGTGACTTGTTTCCTCAGAAGGCTTCTTGCGCAGGGTATATCTATTGGTCATAGAGAAAATCTTTAGAAGAGTTATGACAAGACATACTAATAAAAAAACCCAAAACGTAATTGCTGGCATCCAGCCTTACAGTTCAGTATGGGAACTTCTCCTTCTCACAGGTTGGAGGGAGAGTAGTGTAAGCTCCTATACAGCACCTCTTTACATACACAAACATAAATAGAGTTAGTACGTGTCTTGTTGGAAGTATAGTTAGTATCAAGCCTTGGCTCTATTCCACTGTTTCTGTTTTCTTTATGAAAAAATAAATGTGTGTGGCCATAAGTTAAATTTATATTATAAATATGCAATTAAAATCGACCCTATTGCTCATGTGCCAAAACTGTCCCAGCAGGGGAATCTGGAGAACCCAAATTTATTGCTTTGGCTCCTTGATTCTTCTTCTCCTCCTGCTCCAACAGTGGCTCTGGCCAAAACCAAACTGGAGCAGAGCAGAGCATTTCTGCTTCTGATCAGGTATGCGGTACCCAACAGGGACAGCTGGCAGAGTCTCTGGTGCCACTGGCTTTGTACCAGGGACAACTTCCCCTCTGATGGGAAAATGTAACCAGATTATGTGCCCTTTAAATTATTGCTCGCTGGGCAAAAAATGGTGCCGCCCTCCTGCAGCCTGGGATTCAGTCCCTGGGTCATTCAGGGCGGTGAGCTTCACCAAGTACCTCTAAAGGCATACAGCTCACCAGTTATCTCAGACCTTCCAGGTTGAATAATACCCTAAAATCAAGGTTATAATACACTATTGAGATTTTTCCCGTCTCGGGGGTATCTGCAACGCCATGCACACGTAATGCGTTTTGCTGTGCTCATTTGCAGCTTCAATGGCTCGCAGGGGTCAGCAGCAGAGTGCAGACTTTTTCACCCCTTAAGCAATGAAGCATTGAGTAAAAGTTATTATTACCAATTAGTGGTGGCATTATTATTACCAATTAGTGGCTGTATGAAGCAAATCATTAGTCTTAGTTCAGTTATTAGCAGCCAGGTGTTCATGAAACGCGCCATGTGCGGCTAGCCTTGGACCTCAGCAGTCTCCGTCAAGGCCAGTCACGGAATTTGTGACGTCTCCACACTGTCCCTGCATGGATTTTTGTTGTCCCTCCCCAAAAGAAGTGTGTCTGGAGTCAGTGTGGAGGACTGCTTTGTTGCTACCAGTGTTGTGTACCTGGTGAGTGAATAAATAAGGCAATTTCAATGTCTAGACCAGTATTCTGACACCTTAATATGCTGAATTCATGATGTAAAGCCAAAAACTAGACCCTTAATTTTTTTGTGCATTGCCGCTTCATTTGTAAGACCAAAATTGCCCCCCAAGATGGGTGAGTTACAGCACAAATTGCTCTTGGTCTAAAGTATGGTTTCTCTAGGAGTCCGGTTTTTGAAACCCTTAATATGCAATATTTGTACATATGCATTAGTTTTGCACAACCATTTTACACAAGACATTTTAGACAGCAAGCAGCATGAATCCAGTTCTATTTAAGAACTTAAATAGCACTTTTATACTGTGCTATAATTAAAAAAATCAGGAAGTTAAAGGGAAAAAAATTGAATTGTATCTCTAGTCTTACTTCCATATTGAACTACGTATTTAACTTTGGTGCATTTTGCAGGAGGGTTCATAGCTGTAGCTCCATAACTATATAGAATAGCTAAGAAAATAAGAAAAATAAGAATAACTAATAAAATTCCGATACACCGAATACTTATTGCATAGAATTGACCTGAATCGTGTAATTCGAATAAGCATTAGAAATCTTTTTCATGTTTCTTGGAGTAAAGAGGAGAGGGTTGGAGTGGTGTTTTTGCCTTAAGTGATTCAGATATCTTCTGATTTTCAGTATTAGTGAAGAAAGAGTTTGACCGACAGTTTCTTTCGGGAGAGTGTAAAGCAAATGAGTCGTAGGGTGGCCTCCGCTGGGTCGGGTCAGTCCGAGCACTAGTTGGGTAGGGACATCTGCTGGTGCAATAAAGGAATAATTGAACACTTGCAACTCAAAGTGTAGTTGCATTGGAGTGATTAAGGCAAAAACATCATTATGTTCATGCCTTAATTACTTTTCTGTTTCAATATTATTCTAGAAACACTTATATGCATGTTTACATTTCAGTTTGTGTATGGTTTTAATTTACTGGAAAAGAAAAGTAGAAGCTAAGGCCCTATTCTTGAGCTGGCAGCTTGCAGATATAATGTGTTGAACTCCCTTAACTGAAAGGGCATTTAACTTAAAGTCAATTGGAGCTTTAAAATCAAACTCGTGATAGTGGACCATGCGGGTACATGTAAACCCTGTGCATTTGCGTTTGTAGTTCTGCCAGTGATTCACTGGGATCTCTGGGCAAAGCTCATTTCATTTGTTTCAGTTTATCACTCACTGATTGTTTCAATCCATCTTTCAGTCCATCTTTCTGTACAAGTGCTGTGATAATTTTCAGCTTCTGAATTCCATAGGTAAAGAACCGTAAAAAGTAAAATGTTTATGTATCTTTTGTTACAAACTTCTATATTAATTAAAGACACAGTGAGCAATTTTATTTTTATGTGTTTACCTTGAAGCCCTATAGGTCATATATACATGACCAATATTTCATTTGCAGTGATTTTAAAAGAAAAACATTTTAAGATTAATTTTTTGGTGTGGTGTGTAACTGTGCCTGATACTTATTTAGCATTGTGCACAAGATGACAAAAGCAAGTCCTTGAAAACATGTGTTGAAGGCCATACCCTTGGGAAGAGTTTCCCAGGAGTGTTGAATGCTGTGACATCTTACCAGCACCGTACCAGGCACCCACCTGCCAGGACAAAGCAAGACTTTCTTGATTTGTGAACATATTTCATCTCATTATGTTCTTCCTGCCGTTCGTGTGTGGCCAGCCATCGGTAGTATGCGTTGACCACACATGGTGCCTTCTGGGAGATGGTGTCGCATGCTTTCAGGAGTGTTCGGGCACAAACTTTTTGGGGACAACTTGGTCTCTGCAGGCAGAAGGCAAAGGATTGTGTTCGTCTACTCCCACTTATGAGCCTGTTGCAACTGCTGTCCTGTCGTCTCTTAGAGCAAATGTGTTCTTGAAGTGGCGGTGTTGATAAGTTGTTAGTTTGTGCTTTATGTATTGTGTCAAGAATGCGTTGTTACCATGAGGTACTCCCCATGCAATTCTATAAAAAGAAAAGGGGAAAAAAACCCAAGTATCCGCTCTTTGCTTTGCTACCAACATGACACTGAGAAGTCTTCCAGGAAGAATCTGTAGCAGCTGCAAGCTTCGAATTCTTTCATTGTATCCTGGACAGAAAAAAGTCAATAACCTAAATCTTTCACAGCCAGTTATGGACTCTTTACTGTGGTCATTATTTGCCCAAGGAACTGTATAGTCTGTAAGGAAGGATGTATATAATCAAGCTCAGAATCACAGCAACCACTATATAATTGAAAAACTGTGACTTTCAGATTGAGAGTCTTCTGAAAGTAATGAGCTGCAGAGATCAGCACTGTGCAAAGTAGAACAATTTATCTCAAAGTCAGAATAAGTATTCCCTGCAGCTCTTCACAAGAGGGTGGGGTTTTTATCGAGGTCCAACCCTACTTTCTCTTCTTGCAGTAACACTTGTGTTTCGTAAAACTCATCATGACTTCTTTTCCATAAAGCAACAATTCTTTGTCATATGAAATCTTCCGTTGTCACCCCAGTGGTTCTGTCACCATCCTTGAAAAATTTCTCCACTCTTGGTTTGGATAAAAGAGAGAAGCACTGGCATTAGTATGCTGTACTCTTTATTTTTGAGATGTCCCAAGGCTGTGGTGACAACTGTGAAGTCAGGGATAGCCACAGAGTTGTTACAGACGTGCTGTTTTCTGTTAATGAGAAGCTGGTGTTCATCCACGGCCCTTCTACGTAATACTTAATCCGTAACACTTTATATTGTATTGCAAGCAATCCGTTAGAGAAAAAACCTGTTGTTTTTATGTTTCAGGTGCAAAGATGGCTTGAAAGGATTTACATACTCTGCACTAAAGTAAGTAAAGTTTCTGTGAGTACGTAGCGTAAAGTGAAGATTTTGAGGAATCCTGCACAGCATCAGGTCCACTGTATGAAAAGGGTACTCCTAAGAGAAAAACATGCTGTTGTAAAACTTTTCCAGTTTTGGGGTATACAGTATACTTTGAAGAAAGTATAATATGCTGGCAAAAGAGGAATCTTTTCCTATTTGGGACATTTATTGAAAGAAAATGCAGACATAGGGTTGCATGTTTTTGAAGGAGCGTTACTCTTTTCTCTTCCTAAAACTGGGATTCATGATTCCTGATATCCTTCTGGAAACAAATGGCTGCTGTGTTTTGACCTGGAGTTTATTTACAAAATGTTGAGTGAATACAACAATAGTTCTGTGACCAACACCCAAATAAATGATGGACTTGTAGCATATTCATTTGAGAGATCCTAAATGTGCCACTAAATCTTGTGTCTGCCCTAGTGGTCCAGGCTCTCCTAAGCTTTGCTTTGCAATGGGACCCTCTGGTATTAGTCATTTGTGTAGTTGAAGTTCTCTCATCTTTGTGTCTTGTGTCAGAAGTACAAAGACACGTTATTCTTATCTGTCCTTCATACACTCTGCTGCCTATCTACCACTCAGTGTCCACCAGTGTGTGGACAGTGTCAACTCACAGGTGAAGGCAAGAGCTGAAGCCAAGCAAGGCAGACTTGCTGTTGTTGGTAGTGGAAAATATATTATAGAGTTGGAAGCTGTGAAACAACTGTGGAATTTGATATAAAGTGCCAATAATTAAATAATTCAGTCTATAGTCCAGAAATCTGGCCATGAAACACCAGTTTCTGAAATCAGCAGCTTACTGGGAGATTCAGTCATGTACCAAATGACAAAGTTTTTATACTTTCATCGCCCTCAGCAAGTCTACCAAAATACAGTATAATTCGGATTATAGTGCAAACTGTTAGGAAACATCTTGCCGTTATGACCTCCTTTGCCCTTGATATACAGTAATTCTACAACTAAGATGAACTGGTATATTGACAATATCAACTTCTGGGTGAAGAAAGAGGGCTGAAGATGAAGCCAAGCAAAACAAAGTTGATGGTCTTGGTGGGAGTGAAAACATTTTGAAGATTTTACAAAATAGTTATTTTATAAAAATATTGTAGTAATCATCAACCTTTATGTACCCTCATTTTGCTGGAGATAATTGAGATATTTCATGTGCCTTTTAATTTTCTTATTTGGTGTTCTTGCTTTGTGTAAGAGATGGACTTTCCCAGAAATGTTTTTGTTCCTAGTTTTAAAAAATTCCTTTCAGCAATTGTGACCATTATCTGAAGTTTAAATGTATGTCAGTGAATTGCTCTTTTCAAAGAGATACAGGGTTTGGCAGCTGTATAGGATGCATTTTCTTTTGCAGACTCATGGATAGTAACTTCAAGCTTGTCTTGAAGACTTTAGAGCCTTATATTGGGCTTAATGTATTTATTTGAGTTATTTATATACTTATTGTTTTGCTCTGTAGGGAAAGAAGAAATCCCCACTCATTCATTTTCACCTGAAGCAGCATTTGCAAAAATAGATAGACAGATAAAGCGTTGTGAAAAAAAATCACAGACAGCAAACATACTGGCTCTAACAAAAAAGCTTATGGACAAAGTGTGAGTTGAAGAAAACAAAAGCAAAACAAAACAAAATTAATCATTCTTACATAGCTCATTTTAATGGTTTGTTACATTCTATTTGACAATGTTTTATAATACTTTTGCTTTGCATTTAAGTGTTCTGCATTTCATTTTTACTGGGTAGTTAACACCGACAAATAATGAACTCTAATGAAAGCAAAATTTAGGACCTGTATGTCATAGCAATGATTTGCAATGTGTGGTTTTCTAACGAGGGAGAGCAAGTTCAATCAATTCTGAGTGGCAGAGTGGTGGTTGCTTTTTCTGCAGTTTTCAGCAAAACCACCTCATGGCATGGTTCTGCTGGTGCTAGTAGTAATATTAAGGAGAGGAAATTGCACAGCAGCAGACCTTACTTAGGTCACCTTAAGGGACCATAACATCATCTTTTTGGTGGTGACCTACATCCCTGTATTGCATAAAGGAGAACTGCCTAAGAACAGGGCTGATAGCACCTGGCCTGCCTCCTCTGTCAGGAAATAGGAAATTGCAAAGCAAAGAGTGAGTCTGAAACTGTTTTGCACAGGATCAGATCTAGACATCTGAACCTAGGTAAGATAGGTTCCCTCCTGGTCTACAGGATCCAATTTATTATCCCTTAGTATGAGCTTGAAGAAATGACATCAGATAGCTTTTCAGGCTAATGTGTTCGGATGATGTACTTCTGCTCTGCTTGATTTGTCTGCTTCAGGCACGTTGACTGCCATAAGGACTCATTCATTTACAAGGAAGATGGAATAAAAAATGGATTAAGGGTCCATGTCCCTTAATTCACCACACCTATGAATCTTCACTTCCATTGACCTCTCCAGGAGCAGTTTTATGACAAGATCTCTACCTGCTGACATGCAGGAGAGAAACAAGTCTTCCAAGTGCATTGTGTTCTCAAAGTAGTGGCTTATCTTACTTGGTCAGATCATGAACAAAAATGAAGTGACCTACATCACGTGGCAATTTCCTATGATTTGCTGTGGTTTTTAATTGAAAAATATAAGGGAAGTCAGCAGAGGCTTCTCAGGCGTGATTGTATTAGACAACATGGAGTAGACAGCTCAAGCCATATGCAGATTCTTTTAGCTGAGGTGCTTACAGCTATTTTGCTTTAAATACCCCTTACTTGGTTTGCTAAATATAGTTTATAGCTCTTCCATTCTTTGTTAAATACAAGGGTCAAGGGACTATGGGTGAAGGAGAGCATTTTTTCTTTAAGATTTTGAAACGTCCAACACAGACATTCAGAAAACTCAATTTTCAGTCCTAATGCTCTCACAGGTTTCTCTTCCATATGGTTCTTTTCAGTATAATTGAGTCTAAATGCCTGTAACCTGATCACATTCTCATTACAATTTTTGCTACATAAACTGACCTCACAGATGATTTATGACCATTAGACTTTATAGTACATGATTCAAAACTTCCAAGGTATTTGGCACAGAATATAAGTAGTGTAATTTATTTTGCATTAAAACTTAAATACTTGGCTATAGCAAAATATAATGTTCAGACCTGGTATGACATTACTTCTTTTAATTCTACATAATGCAGGGCTAACAACTGTACAATCCACATGTCCCACCACCCCAAGCCAGTCACTTTTCAAACGCTCAAGGTCAAATTCTTAGTCTGAAGTAAGAGCTACATGAAAATCAACACAGGAGAAGAAATAGCCCAGAAGTGAAAAGCTTGTAACTGAGAGAAGTCTCACACACTACCTCTGTGCATTTGTATGTTCTGCATTGCCCTCCAGTGAACCTTACAATGGTATGAAAGAAGTAAGGACACAGATAATGGGTGCTTGGTCAAATATCCTTCCAGAACTATGGAGCAGAGAGAAACCGGGAAGGGTCACATCACTACTCCCTGTTGACCACAGCAGAAAATTTGTTCTTTAGTTTTGTATTTAATGTGTAGCATGGCAAGAGTTTGGATCCAAATAAGTGTGCAGACACTTCTTGCTATACAACTAAAGTATTGTTAGTTTTTATTGTCCTTTTATAGCATCATAAAAGTTCACAGTGCCCTTCAATGGGTAACAGGGAGAATGAATGGTGGGAAAATAGCACTTTATGTATTTTTAGGCAAGAAAAATTTATGAAGTCTCCTGCCGAAGATGCTGAAAACAGCTACGAGTTAATATGTGTTTCATTGTGCTTTTTGCAGGTGCAAACATGGCCCAAGGCATAGATGCTGTAAACACTACGGAGATAATTGCATCTCATACTGTATTAAAGTAAGTGCAGAAAAAGTTAGATTGACAAACTCTGACAAAGTCAGGGTAAAAGTCTTTAGTCAGAAAAAGCATATACTTTCGAAGTGAGAAAGGAGCCTGTTACTCATTCTTCTTCTATTGAAAATGTGACAAGCCTGAAAACAGATTTTCTCAATTTAGGATGGAGTGGTGTGGGGTTAAAGTTCTCTGGTCTTTCAGATTAGCTGGAGTGAATGAATAACATAAAACGTGTGGGAAAAAATGGGCTGGCGAGCAAGGAACTTGTTTAGCTATGTGATGCACTTCACGGCTGAGCCCACTTGTGACTCCACCCTAAATAAAGCACCTGGAATGTGCTGCTTCGGCAGGCGGTGCGGCCCCGGCGCACGTGCAGCTGCGCGGGTCTGGCGCGGGCGCTGGGCTCGCTCCTCCATTTATTTTAAGGACTCAGGGTAATGAGAGATTGGTCACAGTTGCTGCGCCCAGGAAGAGCTGTTTGTGTCCGGTGGCATAATTCGTCCTCCATTATTAATGTGATCAGCGCATTTTTTTTCAGAGGAGTACTGTGTAGAGATTTGTTTTGGCTGGCGTCGGGTTGGCACAGGTGGTACCACCTGCTATGCCTGTTTTAGGAGTTGGTAACACTCCAGAAGATCTCAATCACTTAATAACTTACCCATTTTTATTTACGGATCTGCAAAAGTGGATTTGAATATCTTCAGATGCTTTTGATACATATTACTTTCAAAAATAACTCTTTAAAATTAAAATTTTACATACAGTTAATGTTATCTCAGAAGAGCTATGCTTAAGTTTAGCATCGAATGAGATCTAGCACAACATTTACTCTTGTATGTTTATTAACATCATCATTTTGTGTCGTACTAGCACCCTTTTTACACTGCAGTATATCAGCGTACCACTCTGTAGCATGGATATAAGTTGTGCTGGAGTTGATAGAATTTGAGATGGTGCTTAAGTGTTCTGCTGAATCACGATGAGACTATGGAGTAGAGCATTCACGAATAGTTTAGGATAGTTATGTCACTTTTCAGTTGTAGGTATGACATATATTTAACAGAACTTAGATTCAAATTGCAATTTTGCAACCTTTCACCAGTATCTCAGTCCACTTAATGTTTCATTCATGGGCTCTTTTCTTCAAGGCATAACATCTTTGGGATGCAGACTTTCCATTTGCTTTGTGCTTGTTCCGTGCCTTGCCTAGTAAGTTTGCTGTTCAGTGCCTCCTGGTCCACTTTGTCTCCCATGTCCTAAGTGCTCGTGCGTGGTGGCCATCCTCTGCGGAGAAGACATCCCCTGTGCCTTTGTTCATAGAGTACTCTGTGGTTTCCCCATAGATATCAGTGTCTGGCCTTCAGAATCAATGTCAAAGACTGCAGTGAATATTATATTCAAAACAAAGATTAAAATTAAGCAGAAGTGATTTTATGGGTTGATATGCTGCATTTCCAGATCTCTGCTGATGATAGTATCTCCTAGTGTGCATCTTTTTCCATGGGTGCCTTCCTATAACTTCAGTCTGCTGCACTTTTACTTAAAGTGCTGTCTTTCATTACTAAGGAATATTTTACTACTTAACTACTGTTAGTCCAGACTTGGTTCCTGAGTTTATTTATTAATCTCATACACAATCCTTATGCATTCTGTGCTGCATGCTCAGCAGCCAAATCTGTAAGTACCCTCATAACACTGTATTATTTTACAAGTGCAGTTAGAGCAAACAAGGATTTCTTGTAACGGAACTGATGCCTCTTCTCCGTGGAAAACTGTCATAATCTGCTGGAAGAATGATTGTGTGTGTGACTTCATGGGTAAAGAGAGAGGGGATCTGACCGTTATGGAATACAAGGAGCTGGAAATGCCTTTAAAATAGAAGGGTGACCAAGAAAGAGGAGTTAGTCTTCTTTGGTCACTAGTGGAGTGACCCAAATCTGATTCCAGGTTGTGAGTTCCTCAGCGTATAGTAGACCATCCCCACACTATTCTCTCTATCCTTACTAAGGCGAGTAGGAAGATGTGTTAGTGGTGAAAAGCATAGTTAAAACGAAAAGGGAATATTCAGGAGTCACTGTCCTCTTCAGTTGTTTATTCAGCATCATTTTGTTCACATTTCCTATACCTCGAAAGGGGATGAGGGGAGAAGAAAATCCAACTGATAATGGAGCTGAGCTAAGTCTTGACCTGACTAAAAATAATAATTAAAAAAAAAGACATTTTTATAAGGCTGGTCTCTCTTTAGAGAAACCAGTTGTGCATTTGAGCTATACTTCATTCTTGTACCAGACTTGTGTAATATTTTAGTATAAATTATTCTTGACTACAATAATATAATCAGGGAAATATCACTGAAGTGGTAGCCAGATCTTTGAATTTCCTACCTTTTCTGTGACTTTTTTTAAATTAAAACATGAGTGAAAAGTTTATTTTTATGTATTTGGATTTTTAAAGATACAAAATGCTTAAAGCATTTTCAGTTTTCTCTTATGGCTGTTCCTGGATTTGATCAGTAATAACTGTCAGCTAACATGATTTGAGCATGTTTTTGTAATTCCGTATATGTAAGGGAGCTTTCAGATCTGATAATGATCTGATCAGCTGTTTACTGCCAAAATTTCCCCTCCGTGCTGTATTTTCCCTTACCCTTGAACCATTACCCATCTTCTCATCTTACCCTTACCCATCTTCTCATTATCATATCTGTGCTTTAATTGTCATTGCATGCTCTTTTTCTCCTACTTCACATTTAAATGCACATTATTAGCTCATTGACATAATCCATGATAGCTTTTATGTAACATTTAGTAATGACATACCACTTCATTAGGTAGACATTAGCCAGCAGTAGTAGTCCAGTTGTCCTCTTTTTCTGCTGATGCTGTGGATGACACTGGATGACCCTCACAACTTACCTAATGACTAGGATCACCAAAAAGTATATGAGGTTATTTTCTGATGATTATAATCTCTGCATTCTCTCTCGAAGGTACATGGGCAACCGTATACCCAGAACAAATTTTAAATATCTTAACTAATTTATTTTAAAAAATTATTTTAACTAATTCGTAATATGTCACAACAGGTGCACTGAGTTCTGGTATGTTACTGAACTCTGTGTATGTGCACACACGTGCTTTTCTGAATTTGAGTGGTAGCCAAATCTTGACTGTATTATTAACTTTTTAAGAAATCTGCTTCTCAAAAGATAAAAAAAAAAAGTTGTATTCAATGAGTTTTGCAGATGCGTAGTTTCACTGTGCTGCTACTTCTGGCTGATCTGAGTCCCAACTCCAAACTTCTGTGCAGAAATGGCTCTTGGCAGCGTTTTCTTTGCTCACACTTACTGTAGTATCCTGCATATACTCTTACTGTTTTCTACCTCCATTACCATTTGAGGACTTTTTATGGAAAAGTTACAATATTGTGCATTGATTATAAGATGTAATACTTTCTGTGACTCTAAAAAACACCTATAAGGGTGGCATGGATTCACCTGGTTGACTTAATGAGCTAAACAAAGTTTTTGTGTGCTACTTGTTGCTGTTCGGTGCACATCAAAACCTCAGTCCTTCAGTTCAGCACTTGAAGTAGGCTACTCATAAAAAAATATATTTGAGTGTTTCCAGTTGGAATTTAGGTGTTTCCTAATGCAGTGTTCCTTACCCCATCGGAGTAACCTTTCCTACAGCTGGGTGAAAATATCAAACATGCCATACTGCTGTTCTCTTGTTTTGGGCTTTGTTCATAACTGCTGGTTTTAGGAATTTCTTTTTATATAATGGTACCTGGTATCGTAATCATCACATTTTTTTGGAAGATGAGGGTTATGTACTTCACACTAGGATACCTCTTCATTTTAGGGGTGAATATACGTTCATTTTAATTTTGACATTTTGACACAGTGCATTTATATCCCCGCTTACCTCGCATACCTTTCAGTAGGCATTTTTATTGCACGATCAGAAAACACTGTGTCATTAGCTGTTCAGTACATACAATTTACCTATCTTTAAGAGTAGCAGATGAAAAAGTGGAAATTTTTCATTCATAGCTACCGGATCATTGGATGACACTATATTTTCTTCTGCTTGATTCTCATAAACCACTTCTTGAGTAGCGGGGAGAGTAATTGCTTCAGGAAGAGTTTATTACTGGATGTTTAACCACAATAAAATTTTATGAGCTTTATGATGCATTATAAAGTCCTGTAGGAGGCAAAAATGCTTTGAATTTCTGAGTTTGAAAGGTTGTTCAATCAATCCCTCTGCCAGTTGTCCTTGTAACTGGAATTGTGTTGGTGTGCCTCAGTATCTTCCAAAAAATGAACTACAGAAAGGATGAGCATCGGGTGCCTGCCTTATTTGCCAATAGCAAGTGACAGATAGTTTTCAGATAAGGAATCTTCCAACCAAAAAATGCACTGATTTTATTCAGAATGATTAGAGAAGTTCAGCCATAGGGTAAGAATAATGATAGGAAGCTTTAGAGGAAGCTATAAGAAACTGGGGAGACAAATTTGGAAAGAAAAAGCCGGTGTGGTTTTGTGACGTGGTATAAAAAAGAAGATCTGTATCCAAAGTGGAGTAGTAAGAAAAATTCATTGGAACCCATGTTATCCTTTTTCAGTAGCTCTGCACATAATCTCCGTTCCAGTGTTGCCCTTTCTCTTGCTGCAGGCGTCACTCAGCCTCCAGTCTGGTTGTGGGAAAGTACGTGAGCACGTGCCAAGCCACCAGGGTCAATTTCTAATTCTCACACTTTCTGAATTTTATTTTTTGTGGACTTTTTCCTCCTTTAGTGCTTCCTCCAGACATTTGAGTATAGAAGTGCTCTTTTTTTTCCACCACATTGCTTTCCCCTATATACCCATTTGTGGTTAAAAGCTGGTCAGTAACCTGGAAATGAAGTCATCAGGTTTATTTCAAAGGACAGAATTTTGGAGCAGGAGAGAAATAGAGTTTGTCCCTTGAGGTCTTTCAGATATTCATAGAAATTAAAGGACAGTCAGTTGTCTATGATTTTATTGCCTTTGCTATCTTACAGGGGAATCGGGAAAAAAAACCTGGTCTTGAGTTTGAAAATGGGAATGCATTTTACATAGTATCTGCAGAGTGAGTTTTAAACTGCTCCATGTCAAAAATAAGTACTTCTGTAGATGTTTTTGGGTTTCCTTTTTCTGAATTTGTGGTTTCTTACCACAGAGTCTTTCTTTCTTTTCTCTAGGGCTTCATTAGGATGTTTAGCATTGGTTACCTGATCCAATGTTGCCTTCGGATTCCATCCACCTTCCGGCATCTGTTTACAGAACCATCCCGGCTGCTTTCCCTCTTCTACAACAAGGAAAATTTCCAGCTTGGAGCTTTTCTGGGATCTTTCGTCAGTATATACAAAGTAAGCTTATAACATACAGAAATGATGAATACCATGGGTTTTATTTCACTTTCAGAATATCACGAAAAGCTAAAAAGTCTGCTGCTTACTGAAACTCTTTGCTACAGCACGTGATAGACAAATTCTATTGTATTGCAGTAGTCAAATTGTAAATAGAAAACTGTTCTTCCATGCCATATGTTTTTTCTATTATTTCTGAATAAATCAGGTGGATAAACCAGCACGGTATTAAGATCAGGAGATAGGGATTACTTCAGAGAAAGTGAATTCAGATTTCAAAGGGACTTGCTGTTACACAAAAATGTCTTAGTGCAGACACAAGTAGTGACTGAAGTAGCAGTAGTGTTGCCAGAGAGAACCCATTTGCAGATTTTTTTGGCTTCAATATCTGGAATTCTTACTTGACACTAAATAGCAGGAGATTGCAGAACATATATCACGTGCAGCTGAAGGGTATTGCACTTACCACTTGGAAATCTACCCTTCTACATCGTTATAAGATGACAGATTGTGAACTGATACGTATTCATACAGCATTGTTGGAATTAATCAAATTATGTTTATTTATACCAAAAGAGAATGTGACAAAGCACATGCCCTAAGAGAGAATATATTGCGTAGTGCTGTGCGGAAGTGGCTTTTACACTTTTATATTCGTAATTCCATATGTCATTTTTCAACTGCCACTTTACTTCCTCTGCAAAGTTAAGATAATTTTGTATTATGCAGGTTAAATCTTATTTACTGAAAATTAAAAAAAAACCCAGGTGTTATTTGTAAGCAAAACAGCATTTCACTTGACTTGCAGTCAGACTGAGAGACAAGAATTTGTAAGGTTACAGAGTTTGAAATTTTTGACAGCAAAGTGCAAATGGGCTCTTCAGAGTTCATTTGAAAAATAAATTTTTGCTCTAAGAAAAGAGCCTTTAAAGAAAAAAGTATTTAAATTGCAAAAGCTAAAATTATTTGGATATCTCTTAAAAGCTCCAGTTGCAAAGTGTAATTTCGTTCTATAGATACTCATTTTATGAGGGTGACATAGTCTGACCTTTATTTATAGTATATAAAGTATGTATGTAGCACTGGTGAGGCTACACCTCAAATCCTGTGTTCAGTTTTGGGCCCCTCACTACAAGAAGGACATTGAGGTGCTGGAGCGTGTCCAAACTAGGGCAACGAAGCTGGTGAGGGATCTGGAGCACAAGTCTTATGAGGAGCGGCTGAGGGAACTGGGGTTGTTTAGTCTGGAGAAGAGGAGGCTGAGAGGAGACCTTATCGCTCTCTACAACTACCTGAAAGGGGGTTGTGGTGAGGTGGGTGTTGGTCTCTTCTCCCAAGTAACCAGTGATAGAACGAGAGGAAATGGCCTCAAGTTGCACCAGGGGAGGTTTAGATTAGATATTAGGAAAAATTTCTTCACTGGAAGGATTGTCAAGCATTGGAACAGGCTGCCCAGGGAGGTGGTGGAGGTATTACCCCTGGAGGCATTTAAAAGATGTGTAGGTGTGGTGCTTAGGGACATGGTTTAGTGGTGGACTTGGCAGTGCTAGGTTAATGGCTGGACTCGATTTTAAAGGTCTCTTTCAACCTAAATGATTCTATGATTCTACTTTCTGTTATTGTTTGCATTCCATAACTTACACAGGTTTGCGTTGCATTATATTTTTCTTGCAGTTTGAAATAATCATGTAGGGCAAGCAGAGATTCTAGTCACTCCAAAAGATAGGACCACAGCAAAAAATAAATAAATGCCTGATGCATTTTGAACCCAAAGGAATTGCATTATGGGCTGCTTTTAAAAAGTCCATCTTGTCCCTAAAAGCAGTCCAAAATGCTATTGTAGGATTGTAGCAACTGTACTATTAATATTTTATGTTCCACTTACTGTTAATTAATGTCAGCAAACATGGTTTTGCAGAAAATGTGTTTGCCATGGTAGCCTGGTTTCCTTTTTAAAATTAGTTTACAAGTTGGAGTACGAAAGTTGACTTTCATTATTACAATGTGTCAATGGCTTTGCAAGGGATTTTTTTATTAAGAATGTGCACTGTAAAATAGCTAGTGATACCACATCTGTGGTACTGTGTCCATTTTTGGATGCAGATATTACTTCATTTCTTCTTTTAATTTTAACGTTTCTTTCAAGAGTGGGTTCACCTGAGGGCCATCAAGATGATTTGAGGACTGGGTCATATTATGTGGAAGGAGAAGCTGGGAGAACTGGGTTTTAAGCTGGAGAAAAAAAGCTTAGGGGAGATTTTAATGCTACCTACACCTCTTGGAGGTGTGAAGTGATGGAATGAAAGGCAATGCATACAAGCTGAAATACAGGAGATTCTGAAGAAATACAAGGAAATATGTCATCATGGGAGAGTGGCCAAATGCTGGAACAGGTTGCCCAATGAGGCTGTGTAGTGTCCATCCTTGGAGATGCTCAGAACTCAACTAGTCAAGTTCCTGAGCTACCTGTTCTAATTAAACCTGCTTGAGGCTGGACCAGATGGTCTCCAGAGGTCCCTTCCAACATAAATCATTCTTTGATTCCATGAAAAGCACACATTAGGTGGATTAAGAAGCTGATGCACATATCTCAGAGTAGACCAGTGGGCTGTCATACTGAATTATATAATGTTTTCTCGGTGCCATCAGCACTGGATTGGACCTTACTAAGCAGATCTTGAACCATTTAGAAGCAAACTGAAATTTACCAGGCATAAAATTTGGAGACAGAGTATTGATTTCCAAAGCAGTTGAAAAAACAATGCAGAGGGTATGGCAGATGTGGAAGAATCTGGATCATTTGGTAACCTGCCGTCATCCAAATGAAGTATATTTTAATGCAGCCCAAGCCACAATTACTTATATCCATTCTGGCCTAACAGCTGTATATTGTTGTCTGTGTCAACAAAAAAGTTTATTATGCTTTTCATTGTGTCTTTTAATCATATGCAGTTCTGACTTTTTAGATTAATGTGTTTTCCTGGTTCCAGAATTTATTTGATGTATGGAAGAATCTCAAGGTGCTTGTTGTGTAGTTGAAAACAGATTTTATCATGGGAAAGTGTCTAGATAACTACAGCAAATGAAGATTATGTGAATTCAAGATGAGCTTTGGAATTAAATTGGTATTGAAATTAGATTGATCTGCTCCCTGATTTTGAAAGAAATGGTAGCGGTAAACTGTTAATTAAAACACTGAAATGTTTCAGGTACTGTGGATTATGGATATTATCACACTATGCTCTCAATTCGTACTGTGTGCTATATTACTAGCTTATAGAGGAATATCTCCAGTTTATGCGTTACAAAAGCGAAATAACTAGGGCTAATCCTGGTCTCTGCTCACCCACAGGGTACTAGTTGCTTCCTGCGTTGGGTACGAAACCTAGATGATGAGCTTCATGCACTTGTAGCTGGTGAGTCCATTACAAAAAGTTTATATGCCTCTCTTGGGAGTCTACAAATATTTCTCTTGTCTGTCCTCCCATTCCCTTTCAGAATTCTGTGATGAAAATAGGACAGTGTACATCAAGATTGTGTCAAAGTGACAGTGGTGTTTCAAGTAGCTTCATATGAAGAGTTGCAATTAAAATTGTAAGGCAAATTCAATCAAATAGTGTGTTTTTTACGTCAGCTTTCAAGGACAATATATTATTGTATGCACAACTGTGAAGTTGTCCTTTATTTTCTGACTGTAGCAATGTGAGGTTCAAACACTGACTCTTCCATACATGGCAGGATACACATTCGAAAAGATGATCTCCACTTTTGTGTGGTGGTGCAGGCCCTTCCCTGCTGGTTGTGCATCTATCACGTATTGGAATCTCAGGGGTCTCTCTTCTTTGTGGGGTGAGAGAGGAAATTTGATGCTATGCTCCTGAGCCCTGAACTATAGATTTATTTCAGGGCTTCAAAATATCTTTTTTTTCAATGACATAAACCGTATTTTGATGGGCAGCACAGGAACATCACTGAACTTTGTTGTAGCAACAGAAAGCATAATCTCATGCAGTGTCTGTTGAGCTGGCATACTGCAACAGCAACAATAAATCACGATCTTAACAATACTTTTGTTTTCTAATTGTTACAGGGTGTCTAGCAGGAATTTCTATGATGTTTTACAAAAGTACTACTATCTCTATGTACCTGGTGTCCAAATTGGTAGAGGTAAGATATTACCATTGTTACAGAGTTCTTCATTTCATCTATTTTTTCAAGGCCGAAAAAGAAGATGAACTTCACAGGCTTTGTCAGACAATTCCAGTATAATACAAAGTTGCGTGGCAGTGGTGTGTTTCAGTACGTGTGTGCCTAGAGGCAGTGCTGTTCTGTGGTCTCATTTCTTTCTTATTTTCTGTTCTGTGACTCATTTTAAAAGTCCTTTATTCACTGGTCTCCATGTATATTCTCCATGAATTTTTTTGATCTCTTGATAGCCCTTTGCTTTGTAGCTTTTGCAGATTTTTTTAAATCTGAAAGTTCCAAGAATGTCTATTCTGCCAGAAACATAAATCAGGCCTGGTCTTTAATTGCAGATTTATTGCCAAAAGCTACAGCTTAACTTCCTGCCTTTGTTCCTTAATTTTGGCATTCAACAATCTAAGATAACTCAAAATAGCTTAGGTTTTAGTCTATAGCTGGAGTTGTTGTCAGTATACTTCAACTGATTGAATTCCCAGCTTTGCAATGAACTTTGTTCTAATTACTATTTCTCAGGCTTGAGTTATTTCTATGAACTTGTTAAAATTAGGAGCCCCGGGGAGAAAAAAGAGTTTGTAGAGTTTGAATATGTTGACTATACTTTGCTAACCAGCTTTTGATTTCTTTCTGTGATTTTTCCATAAAATTGGGACTTAGTCATGGTTATTTCCCCAACAGCACCACTGGAATAGGTTGAGAGCGTTCTCTTATTATGCATCAACCCCAAATCACAAAGCTTTCTCCTGCACACCTAAAGGGCCTCATTCCCTAGTGATACGTATCCACCTTCATTACCAGAGCAGAATTAATTTCAAAGAATATAAAAGAAGGAACTTTCTTTTTAAGCATAAAATTAAACATTAAAAGGGAAGATATACTCCGTAAGATTTACTCTGTTTATTCATGCGCCTTGTAATCCTAGACCAAGCTCTGAAGGTAGTTCGCATAATGGTTTTATAAAAGTGACGCTGAGTTATCCATATTGACTTTTAGAACACCAGTTGTAAAAAAACAATATTATCTTGTATTGCTGATGGTTTTCTCTGGACTTTGAGACATTGTGGCTGCATTGAAATAAGAAAAGTGCTGTGTGTTCTTTCTTTCTTCTTTTTTTTTTTTTCACTACTTTTATCATCTTATGCAAGCCAAGGGTAACTGACCAGAGAGGCGTGTGCTGCTTTGGAAGGTCAGGCTGTGCTCAGGAAAATAAACTTAACATGTTTTCTCAGAAAGTAAAGTATGTGATTTCAAGCTGTTTAAGAACAGTGAATATTCACTTTGTTGGAATAGTTATTGCGTGGTTCTTTTGCTTTTTGAAAATGAAGAATTTAACATAGCAAACTTTCCCTTTTTATATTTAAGATCTATACTACCCTTTTAACACCCAAGCTTTTGCTACGTCCTGTTCTATGTGTTAATAGCCTCTTATTCTGTTGATCTTGGATAACTTCTATAAGCTGTCTCAATCAATGTCATGTTTGTGGGCATATACAAAAATATATAAGCATAGGTTAGTAATGTTGTCATGTTTTTTTGAAAAGATAAAGTAAATGAAAAGTAAAAAACTACTTTTACTTTATTTTGTTTCATTCAGTATTTTTTGTTTATTTTGATAGACTATATACTTCAAAGGCATTGAAGCGGGGAAGGTTCCCTATTTTCCTCATGCAGACAGCATCATCTATGCCATTTCTACATCAATATGCTTTCAGGCAGTAAGTATGTTGTCTTCTGACAGAACATGAAGTTCTTTTAGTTTAAGTCAAATGTTGAATGAAATGAGGAGGACAGGGATACAGTGATATAGAAAGGATGATGTGATGTAGCGATTCCAACAAGATGCTGTGAATCGGGGCTCCTGCATCCTGCTTTTGAGTATCACTGTAGGAAGATCATTTCTAGGACTCAAGTTTCTGGCATACTTATAGCTGAATACATTATACAAAGCACTGAATCCTTTGGACGGGATCTTAAAATGCATTGAGCCAGAAGATGAACATAAATGTATGAACTTTCATAAGCATATGAAAGGACAGTTTCTCAAGGAGACAAACAATATATTGTAATATTTTATGTAGTTTTTTTAATCAACTGGAAGTTTTTACTTTCAGCTAACTTGAATAGAAGTTGCCTATTTGAAAAAAACTGCAAAAATTGGCAAGGAAACCTGAAGTTTTGCATTCAAAACAAGCTGGAATAATAATCTTTTGCACTTCCCAAGCCAATTACATGCCTTCACCCTCAGTCCTTTTATTGGCTGCATCAGCTAGAAAAGCTTCTTTTCAGTGGTACCCAAATCACTACTATTTCACTACCACTCTCCATTTCTAGACCTTCTGCTGAAACATCCCACTGAATGTTTTCTGGACCTCCATAACTATATGTCTTTTTTGTACCCCTCAATAAAGAGAATATAAAATGACCCTAAAGCATTCTTTTGCTCTCTCATGCTTAACAGAACAATTCCTCTCCTCCTCCTCATTGCTCCTATGTGTTTGCGAATATCTCTCATTCTAGTAGCAAAGTGAACTGATATTTTAGTGCTTGGGGTGTGCCTGAAGGTCTGCAGCACTGAGATCTCCAAAATACTATTTGCAAGGATCATCGTATAAGGCTAACAGAAATAAAGTTCATATGAGAAAAGAGGACATTTTTTTTCATTACTTAGTTGGAAAGGGAATCCAAGATAGATACAAATTGCTAGATTTAGGAGGGAGGAAGGAGGGGGGAATTAGCAAAGTGGTATACGCTGAGATGTTTGTTACTCACTATATTCATAAGTGAGCTGGAAAAGTAATAGAATAGAGAGAAGACAAGTATTTTAGTTATGTAACATTATTTAAGATATGTAATGTGAAATACAAAGATGACTACAAGAAATGGTAGATCACAAAATGCAGAATGAGTGAGGGATAAAATAGCAGATGAATTTGGCATCCACAAGTGCAAAATCATGTATGTAGGAATAATAAGGATTATTGTTGCTTTCTCTGCAATGAGATCTAAGTTAATTGCCACCATGTTTGAAAGATAGTCTTCTGGGAATATCAGCCTGTGCTGGTGGTGGTCATGTAGAGCATGGAATTCAGCTGTGAGCAGTTTGTCTACTGACAGCACCAGACCTTGGCAGGTGATCACAGCTGCTTTCGGTCAATGAATCATGAGATCATTTAAAAAAAAAAAATTAGAAAAAAATATACATATTTTCATAACTATCCTTTCACTGGTTTTTGGCAATGTGATGAAGCAGATGAAGCTTTTGCCTGAAGCTGTCAGCTGGCTTTGACAGAATACTCTCCTTTGCAGGCTGTAATGGAAGTTCAGAACCTGAGACCTTCGTACTGGAAATTTCTTTTACGGCTAACAAAGGGCAGGTATGTAATCAGGGGTATGTTATGGCTTGTCTAAACACGTCATTGATTACATTCAACTTTCTACGTCATTCGCTATCAAGGCAGAGCCATAGGAGCGCGTATGGGCTAATTTCCTGAGTGTTTGCTTTTCAAATGGTTTCCAGTCCACTTGAAGCTCTTCACTGCTGAAGCGACAGTGATAGGTTTAGTCTAATGACAGGAGCAAGGACTTAAATCTAGTTAAGACTGTTTAGCAGATGACTGTTTTACTTGAAGGTTTTTTTTATCCTTAGTTTACTTGGAGAGTGGAATGCTTTCAGGTTTCACTGGAATATGAAGAAACGGGTAAAAAACTATACAGGTTGAAGAAATCAGTATGTACAGTAATTGACAACATGGTATTACTATGTGTTTAAAAGCATTACTAGAAATGTCAGAGTATTTCGTAAGAATTCTTGGAAGATTTAATATTTTTTTTAATAGGACATCTATTTCAGTTGGGGAAGGAATTATTTTCTTGGAAAACTAATGAAAAATTTTCACTGATTATAACCATAAATTTACACTGTAATATCTTACTGGATATTTTTTTCTCGTTTGCTGCAGGGATCTAAAATGCTTACCTTTTAAAGTAAATCTTGCTGTAACTGGTTTATAAAAATACAATTTAGTGAAATGTACACTATTATGCTGATGTAGTATGTGGCAGAAACAAGGCGTCCAGATCTTGATGTAGATCAGTTTATGCATGGGATTATAAAAAGTAATGCTGTTTGTGACAGTGAGCTCTCCAGATTATAAAAATAGAAGTGAAATCAGAGGCCAGTCCCTGGACCACGTTGAACCTACACTCCCCATGGCACAGCACACTCTTAGCTGGACATGAGGTGACTGAAGACATTGCTAGACATAGTGGGAAGCTTTCCTTGGGAGTCCTGGAGGCAGTCTGCAGGCAACCTCTGAGGCCATGCAAACGTGATATGGGGGATGATGTCAGTGCAGATGTCCAATTTTGGCTATATTTTTCCCTCTTATGCTAAGTCGTAAGACTGCTGTAGTTAAAAGAGAGGAGGGAAAAGAAATTCTGTTCTGTTCATTTATTTTATCTGAAGCAAATCTCTGTAATAGTAATTCTGACACTCTCTCCATAGAGGCAATTTCTTTTGCCATTTCGTAGGCCTTTCACTCTACAATATTGAAAAGTAAAGAAAAGGAATTAGGTTGTAACACCGATAAAATTGTTCTCCAAACTTGGGCAGGCATGGACAGAGTTTGCTCTGCTAGGGTGAGAGAACAACAGTGTATTTTGTTTTGACCTTTTTTGTGGATTTAAAGGTAGAAGGGGACTCTCTTCTTTCCCTTTTTTCACAAGCTGTGTTATATAAAGTGTATCTACACAAAACATTAAATTTGGGAAACGTATTTTATTTTAAATCTTTATTGCCCAAGATGAAAAACTTGTAGTCTCTAAACAGTGCAGGCTGAAGCCTGTATTTCAAAGATTTGTATAGTCTTTCCTAGAATCATAGAACAGTTTGGGTTGGA